GCCATTACTGTGCGTTTAGGTGACCATGATGAGAGAGACAGACAGAGTCTGGCTGGCTCAGATGCTGGCAGTTCTCACTGCAGTCTACCGGCAGCGTCTCAGGCCAGGATAGACGAATGTCACCGAGCAGTGACTAAGTTTGTGGTAAAAGGCTTGCACCCATTTGCCACAGCAGATGATTTTCAGTAAGTGAATGTGTTTAATTGTAGGCAGGGACATTACTGGATATTCTTGTGTAATTGCTACTGAATAATTTATGTTATACTTTATTATTGCTACAGAAGAATATTTATTTTATTATTTTACATTTACAATTTATTTTCCTGAGGACCCTGTGACACCCCATTGAAGAGCCATAGGCTGTGGATCTCTTAAGATCTCACTGTTGGGTTTGTAAGGCCATGTTACTCCTAAATTTCTATCTTGTTCAAAGAGAAGATATAAAACAAAGTTCTAAGCTAATCAACCTTAGTGTTCTTTTAAAAAAAAAATAAGAGAATCGATAAAGAATCAAATCGTTAAACAGAATAGAAAATGGAATCGGAATCGTGAAAATCTTATCAATACCCATCCCTACCAGTGATAGACTATAACTTAAAATACACACTTCACAGAATTGCTGCTTGATGTCCTTAAACATGTCACTTCGTTGCTCGTTGTTTTGCAGATTTTCAAATATATAATCTATAAATCTATGGGCAGAGTCAGGGCAGAGTGTATATACAGTAAAAATCTATTATAGTTACCAGTAACAACACTGACAATGCTGTCAGACCGGAATAGCAGCAGATTTTGGCGAGTGCAACGTAGTGGGAGTATATTACTTCCATGGAAGTCTGTGCAGTATGTGCCAGAACTTTTTCTGTCTAGTTTTGTGCATGTGACACAACTGACTGTGATCCACTACATTATATCTCTTCTAAACCTCTTCTAAGCCCTTGAGACAGCCTTAAAAACACAAGCTGTTACTGAACTTTTTAACAAAGTAGAAATTGCTGTTTGAACAGAAGACAAGAATGCTGCTTTGTTTAATTGTCTTCTGTATTCTTGGTGAAGCTTATTGCAGTTAACTAACTGAAAAAAAAGTTTAAAAGTAAGAAATAACTGAAGTTAGACTGTACACTTGCAGACAAAATAAAATGAGACTTGGTCAGTGGCCACTGACGCATACATTTACTGAGAGTAGGATGTCTGGTAGCCTACTCTTATATTTGTTGACAAACTGTTTTTGCTAAACATACTTCGGTTGTACTTACAGTTTTATTATTCCATTCTGCGGGTCGTATTGCGGTACATAGCCGTACTGAAGAGGGCAGCTTCTCTGAGACGCTGCACTTGAGTACCTGAGTACATCAACAACAGCACATTATCCATGCAGTCATGAAAATGACTCACTTTGTTAAACAAAAAGAGTCAAGATCTTTCAATAAAAATTCAAAATAAATATATAAATAAATGTTATAATTGTGCCTCCTAAAATGTGTACATTTAAAAACTGCTTATCAGCATCCCCACATTTACATTGTTTTAATGTTACTTTGGTAGATTGATAAAATGCAGAAATCATTTCCTCACCTGCTTTTTAAATCTATTCATCAGTTCATCCCTAACACATTTTTTGCAGAACTGCAAAGACAGTGATGTTGCATGAACTTCAGGTCGGTGGGTAAAAATCATTCCTGTCAGCAGCAGCAGCAGCAGAAGTCCTGGAGGAGCACACAACGGAGATGACTGACGAGCCATCTACCTCATTCATGCAACAGCAGACACAATTTAACCTATCTGTGTTTGTTTCATTATATCTCCTCCCCTCTTTTATCCACATTGATGCGGAAAGTTCAGTGAAGTAAGCAGCATGCAGCATAGCCCGCCCATTTATGCGTCGCTGTCTGATTCTGCCAAATACCGTCGCATCTTTACAAGCCTTACACCCATTTCCATTCATGTGTTCTACTCGCATATGTTTATGTTAGGTGTGAAAGTTAGGATGGGGTGAGTAAAAGTGTGAAAGCACTAAGTATCTTCATTTAGCTTTCTATTTTTCTTGCTGATTACATAAGTCACAATGATGTCATGAATCACTGTTCCGAAGAAAAAGCATGAAATTCTCAGGTTCTGGAGAAATACATCAGAGCAGGAGTCCTAAAAAAAAATCAGGGCCGAGACTACCACACTATGTTTGATATAAAACACATTTATACACCACTCTAAGTAACTATGAGTCTCACTGTCGTTTTATCTCCTCCTCTTCTCTGCGAGTACAAGCAGCATACTTACTGCTATGCGCCATAACCCGCTCCTGGACGCATGGTTTCCTTAACTATGGTTCCTCAACCTCCATTCTTCTTCTTTTTGTTGCCATAAAAATTAGGGCATATGTTCAGAAATCATTTCGTATTAATCATATAGTCTCTTTTCAGTCTACAAAGCTCCAGCAGAGTCCCAGAAATACTGGCATCAAGATTCCATTCAGCTATTTTCTCTTTCACTTGTTCACCGCAATAAAGCGTGTATTGAGAGGGGCTCGTGGCTTTGCTGTGACCTTTAGAGAAAGAAGTCTGTGTATTTGACTTAGCCCGAAGTTAATATTTGACTCTGGTTCAGTGCAAATAAGACCAGAGAGGCACCACATAGACCCAGACTATAGTAACCAGTTATGACACCATGATGCAGACATATGGAACTCATAATGAAATACTGTAGTTAATTTCGCTCTTATAGTGCTCTGTTTTGGGTCATAAGGCACTAGGCTAGAGAAGGCTTTTGTGACAACAACATTGTTTCAACTGCTGCTTTTGGCACATCCAGTAATGGTCAAGCCATGTTCATTGCTCATAGAGGAATCCAGTTTGTTTTGGATCACCATCATAGAAAGAAAAGATACCAAAATAAAAGTGATGAAACCATTGGAGGAGACCCTCTCCAGAACAGACATGCATGCTATATGGGTAAAGCAAGCAAGCTGAGGTTTCCCCATGAATGCACTTTACATTCAAGTGGCATTCTTTGAATGTTTCCTGCAAGGGTGTGGCACAGGAGACAGAAAATACAGCAAGCTACTTTCAGCAGCTCCCATATTCACATGAGGTCACCACAACAAGAAACTCCACTCCCCATCTTTGATTTGTTTTTTACACCATATGCCTTTCCTTACACAACCCCAAAGGGATTTGTGTCTCCTGCTGTGAATCTTTTGTTTATTAAATGATTGTGTAAACCATTACACCAGAAACACAGACAAGAAAATTCAGCAGTGGAAGCTACTCACTACTCGCCTTTCCCGAGTGATCTCTATATGGTGAGCAAAATGCAAAAATATTTTTTGCACACTACTCAGGTCATTTAATTGTCACTGCAGTCACACATGTAGAGTGTAATAGACAGCAAGAGATATTTTCATCATAAATGTATTTTCTCAAATAAACTAAATATATGTAGTTAAATATTTTGTCAATGTTTTTGTATGGATGTGCCCTATTTTCATGAGGCATTGTTAGACAGTTCTTTTTAAAGGGAATATCTGGTTTGAACCTTCAGGTCCTCAGGTGTGCTACCTGTACTTTGGGAGCATTCTTTTCAGGTACTCCAGGCTCACTGTTTCACATAGCAGTTGAGAAAGTGAGTCATTAAGAAAGAAGGTGGAGCTTGTTGAAAGAAATATCAGCAAGGACAAGTACAATAGCTGAAAGTGTTATGGGATAACAACAAGTCTACACGTGAACTTCGGTACTATTTCGCAATATATTAGTATCAGCAGGTCCTGAGTTGGATTCTACCACCTGGCTGGGGCCTTTCTGTGTGGAGTTGGCATGTTCTCCCCAGGTTTCTGTGGGTTCTCTCTGGATACTCTGGCTTCCTCACACAGTCCAAAGACATGCACTTAGTTGGGTAAGGTTAACTGGTAATTCTAAATTGCCCATAGGCGTGAATGTGAGTGTGAATGGTTGTCTGTTGTCTGTCTCTACCCTGCCTCTCACCCCATGGTAGCTGGGATACCATGGACAGATGGTGTAGTATTTTCAAAATGTATGAATTTGGCTCACTGGAGCAATCGAATAACTCCTCTTGAGCGCCAATTACCTCAGTGGGTGAGCGAGGGAACATGTGCCACTTGCCTGATGCGTAACAGCCTGGGATCGGGTCTGACCTACGGCCCTTTCCCTTCTCTCTGTCCCCACCTTCCTGTATATCTTGACTGCTCCGCAAAGACAGAAAATACCCATATGTCACTAGCCCCCCAAACCCTTCTCTGAATATGAAAAAAATTTGCTTAGTCCAACCCACTTCTGAATCCTAACTCTCCCATGCTACAGTAACAAATTCATACATTTGTGTGAGCCCTTTGAGATTACAGGCTTTGACAAACTTCTCTGGTATTATGTTAAGCAATACTGCAACTATGTGATCGTGGTTCACAGGAATTCCCATGAGGAATACCGGGGACCTTGCCAAAACAGATAATCACACTGATCACAGAAGTCTGTTCATGCTTGTCTAAGATGTTTTTATCACACACATTGCCATCGTTAATTATTGTTTTAACGTACAAAACACTGATCTTTTAGTGCAAAATAATAAGATAAGATAGAACTTTATTAATCCCTCGGGTGGGTTCCTCTGGGAAATTCGACCCAGATCCCAGATCCTGACTTGATTATATCACTGTTGTTTTTGCAAGCTTTTGTGCACGTGTGTGTGTGTGTGTGTGTGTGTGTGTGTGTGTGTGTGTGTGTGTGTGTGTGTGTGTGTGTGTGTGTGTGTGTGCCTGCATGCACAAGTGGGTTTTTGTGGTGCATTATCTTGCAGCTGTGAGTCTCTGCAGGAAGAGCCATAACCATGGCAACGCCAGGCAATAAGTACCTTTCAAAAGGCTGGCCTCCTCTCTCCTGCTCCCCACTAATCATATTCTCCTACTCCCTCTCTCTCTCTTTGTCTGTCTCTCTCTTTCCATATTTTATCTGCTTGGTCATTCCACCGGTTTCACCCCTTCATAACCAGCTGGGAGGCATACTGGACACCACAACAAGAATACATCTATTCAGCTGGGCTCCTCCTATTCTGCAGTTTCACTTTGTGAAAGGCCACAGGAGGATACCACTTCCCATTCGAACATCTCTGCGGTTTGCTAAAAGGACATCTTTATAAACAGACGTTGCACGCGTGGTCCCTTTTGTTTGGAAGAACGGATTTCGAATGCTGCTTCTACTGACTGATGCCTTGTGAAGACCATGGCTGTGTACATGCAGTCAGACAGCTGTGGATCTCAAACAAAAAATTGATGTAGTGTATCTACAATGACATTGCATTTAGACAGAACACCTAAATAGCAATGAAACACGGTTCTTCTGAAATAACGAGCAAGGAGTTGACTGTGGGAAGATGCAGAAGGGGAGAGGATGAGGGCAAAGACACAGATTGTTTGCAGCAGTTCCCCCACTGTCCAGCTTGTAAACAAGACTATGACATCACTCTGATCCTGCCATGCTCTCACACCATGTGTGGTCAGTGTGTAGCAGCTGGAGAGGGAGCGAGGCTACGCCGTCAACCCATGTGCTCTGTGCGGTGCCCCTGTTGTCGGCATCCTGTGGAGCTGCCGTGCTTGACCTGGTCATCTGCCATATCTTGCCTCCCAAAACATCCCAGCATGAGATCTAATCATGTCAACAGAGAGGCCTCACCTGAGGATCACCCGCCACATGTGCAGGTCAGATGTCCTTTAGGGAAATTCTGGCATTTCCACTTAAACACAATGTGGTCTAGGTAGGCTAGGTAGGTACTCTGCCTTTTGGGGTCTGGGATAGTAGCCATAAACCTGATAGCACATTTAAAAAAAAAATAGATTGTCTAACCCACTTCCGAATCCTAACTCTCCAATGCTACATTCACAAGAGGGAGTTATTACTGTTGGTAAGATAATACTACACTGACAATAACCATTTATAACCCAGATCATGACTTGATTATATCACTGTTGTTTTTGTAAGCTTTTGTGCAGTTATACTTACAGATCATACCTAATATCTTTAAAACTTATTAGCTATTATACCTTTCCACATTTCACACATGTATTGCAATAATATTGTTGGGATTTTGTTGACCACCATTATTATGAATTGTAATGTGACAGCGCTAATAAAAAACAAACAGATAAAGCCAGAAGAGTCTGTCAGTTGGTGCTGAGACTCCCTTAACCCCCGAAACACACAATGACCAGTCTCACAGCATCACTGCTTTTGAATCACCAGTCAAGCAAAACCAATTATCCAATTCAAATCTATCCAACTGTATTGATAGCAATGCTGAATTGGTATAAGATTCATACTAGAGGGATAGGATCAATACTTTGTTTTGATTTTCAAAGTTCTTTCTTTATTTTTTTTTTTATGAAAAAATACACCTCAAACATGCCCTATCAAAATGTCTGATCTTTTTTTGTGTTACCTGTCACGACTATTTTATTTATACCATATAGAGCATTTAAACAGCAAGCTGACCCTAAGTGCTTTAGAGACAGACATATTTACATTTCAGGTCTCTAGAAAACCCAGTTTAAAAATACATGAAAAGCTGCAAGGTGTCATTATTGTGGAAAGTAAAACTCATAATTTTGCAGTGTTAAATAAAATGTGTTCAGAATTTGCAAATTGACTAAGAGTTATCTCATGATTTATGACATGCTGCCTTTATAGGTTAAATGTATCAGTATCTGTATCAGTATTGGTATCAGCACCACTGGCCCTGAATTTACTTGGTATCAGATCAGTACCAAAATCTGCAGTATCACACAGCACTAGATGTCTGTGCAATCACCAGTTCTCTGCACGAGAGGACCGATGCTTGCACATTTTGTTTTGTCACCCTCTTTCCTGTTCTGGTGTGTTTATTTGTCCTGCGGTCATGTGACTCAGCGGCTCTGAGTAGCAACATGTAGGCTGCAGTAAGAAAGCGCAGCAGATGGAAGGAAATTTTCTCCTGGTCCCTCAACCATTATTAACTTATATAAAGATATGAAGGAGCACACAAAAAAGAAACGAACAGGAGGAAAGATATCCCTCAGGCAGCTCTAGAACCCCAGCACAGAGACTGACTCTGTACTCACGTATTATTGGTCATCATAGTTGTTATTTTAACAGACTGATTACCTTTATATTGTATCATTTGTAGATTAAATTAATAAATACATATAATAATGAATTAATTATTGTATTAGAACAGAAACATATTCTGTCCTATTTATTTATTTCTATTTTATCATTATGTATTTGAAGTGTTTCAAAGACAGACAAATTTACATTTCAGGTCTTCAAAAAACTGATAAAAAGCTGAAAGTTGGAATTTGTTGCATTAACAAAGTATGGTACAAAGTACATTCACCGGTATTTAATGGTCCCTAGAGTGTGTTTATAATTGGCAAACTAATGATGATTCATCAGTCATTCATAAATCTTGACACACTACTCTTCCTTACATAAGTCCTTACATAAGTTTAAATTATCAGTATCACCAATACTGAATTTGTATTTACTTGGCACTGGATCGATACCAAAACCTGCACAACACTAGTAGCCAAAAACCCGTAATCGAACAAGTGTCTCTTGATAGATAGATTTAGATTAATTAAATTAAAAGATTATTAATACTTCCAAGGTACACTAAAAGCCAAAACAGCATTGCTTGGCTCAGCACAGAAACACTTGAAACCTATGGAAACAAGTCTGAGTGTTTCAAGAGAAAACAAAATACACTTGCCAGCATGCCTAGAATTCAGGTTACCGCTTATTTAATGTGTACCTAAAGTTAACATCTATACTGTTTGCCTTCTTATGGCACATCAAGGCCAGCAAGTAAGTAATGAATATCAATAAACATCTACAGGAATAAAGTTAACTGTATGACGAGTTTTGAGTTAGGTACTTTACTATTGTATGTACTTTTTTTGGTAACTAAGCTAGCTTAGTCTGGCTACTCCACATATCACTGCTTTAGTTTTCAAAATCAAAAGATACCTTGTAGCTTTTTTTCCTGTTGAGATAATTACCCATTCAGGGATGGGCTTTATGTGAAAACTGTGAGCCTAGCCAGGCTCCCATAAGCACAACAGCAAGTGCATGTGTTAGCATGCAGTGCTGAGTGTCACACTGGCACTACTGTCAAAACATATTCTGTTTAAAGTATTCAAGCTAATGTTACTCAGGCTCTAGTTATAAAAAAAATATCTGTTGACATAAATTAACAAATAAATTAACAAATACAAACGGCAAAAGCTTTTCTGGACCTAAGATTTGGTAACTTTGCTCACGTCACTGTTATTAGTTGTCGTTGTATTTGTGACATATTGCAAGCTTTACATAGCTATGACAAGATCAGACGCCAGTTGTGTAGATCAGATTTGGCCTACTAAAATTACAGGGTTTTTTCTTTTAAATAAATGTTTTTACAGTAGAATTTATGTATTTATTTATTATTTAGTTAGTGTCTTTAACAGAGCTGTAGCCTATTACTTGATAAAGCTGTTCCATGTTCTCTCTTCATGCACACTTCTTCAAATCTATTATTTCACTAGCTGGGCCCATGTCCTCATTTTAACTTTGACAGTGTTTTACTAGGTAAAAGTCAATGCTTTGACATGAATTGAGCTGCGGTTTGGGGAAGGCCTCGAAGGGGACTGCCAATGGCTCCCGGGCCTGGCAGATCCCCGTGTACTAAATAGAATTGAAGAAGTTGAAGAATGGAGAAGAAGGAGGGAGGGAGGGAGGGTGGGGCACGTAAACAAGAATGATCAGCTTGCAGAACTGGGGGAACCCAGATGACAGCCGGAAGGAGCATGTTTGGAGGCGTGGTCCTGCTCCTGAAATTCCGATACATAATCTCCAATTCTAAGTGCCGCCTGCTGTTTCAACCCTTTTTGTGTATCATATTTGTGGGAAGTGATAAGCACATTTTTAAATCTTTTTTTGTATTTTGTTGTTTTGTTTATTGCTTTGTTACATTACACTGGACCTTTTATGGGGCATTGGATATTTTGTTTCATAGACAATATACACTACCCCAAATAAAATACTCAATGTCCCATAAAAGGTCCAGTGTCAGGAAAACTACGAGCAAGTCAACGTTGAAAATGTAACAGGAACTTTCCTCAATGTGTAAAGGTGTCACCGTGGGTTCTTATGGGTTAATTTTGTACAGTCAAATAAATCCCCTTTGGTAACCTTTTTGAAATGTAATTTAACTACTAGTGCCTCTGATGAAGGCAAATATAAAAACAGCAAGACTGATTTTATAAAACCCCTTTCAATCCCCTTATCCATTCATTCAACAAGATTGGCACTATAGACTAAAGTGTCTGACTGATGTAGAGTAAAAACAAAAACAAACAGGTACAACCAAAAAGATGAATGAGCTGGATCAACAGACTGGGAACTAGAACTACTACAGTCATGTGAAAAAGCTTTAATACCAATGGCTTGAAGTCAAGAGTCAGGAGAAGCGACTACCCACCTGTCATCTGTCACCTAAGATGCACAGAATGGGTGAGGTTGGAGAAGGAGGGAGAACATCTTTGAAAAAAGGTGGAGTCATCAACATTTTATATATATGTACTAGCAATAAACAGATCTATATTTTGAATACAGACCAGTCAGGTTTTAACTGGTGAGGTTTAATGGTTTAATGCCACAATTACTAACTTAATTGTGATTTAGGAAAATTTTATACCCCTACAGTGTCATTCCTGTACAAGAGTAAACATAAAATGCAGTTTATAAATGATGATTTTGTATTTACTTATCAGTGAAAAATGCTTATATATTATATATCATATTATATATTTACTCAGGTTACCTTTGTCCAATATTTTTTGATGATCTGAGACATTCAAGTGTGACATATATGCAAAAAAAAAGCCCAAATCAATAAGGGGGCAGATAGGGTTTTTTTAAGGCACTATGATTAAAAAGGCAATGAAAATGGACAAATGTTCAGACAAGGGGAAGTTTCAGCAATAATATGTTGCTGTTCAGTTTGAATTTCTTCAATTCAGTTCAATTCAATTTTATATAGCACCAAATCACAACAACAGTTGCCTCAAGGCACTTTATATTGTAAGGTAGACCCTACAATAATACATACAGAGGAAAAACGCAACAATCAAATGACCCCCTATGAGCAAGCACTTTGGTGACAGTGGGAAGGAAAAACTCCCTTTTAACAGGAAGAAACCTCCGGCAGAACCAGGCTCAGGGAGGGGCGGCCATCTGCTGCGACCGGTTGGGGTGAGAGAAGGAAGACAGGATAGAACACATGCTGTGGAAGAGAGACAGAGATTAATAACAAGTACAAAAATTCTTGTAATGAAAAGGTTTTAATTCTAAGACCAGTGTCCATATTGAAATTTTATCCAAGACGTCCTTTTCATTAATAAAACATTGTGAGGTTTTTAAAAACTTGGGTCATTATGGTCATTATTAATAGGATCATTATGTTATTACTTAACAATCCAATCCAACAACCTCTGCTGCAAATAAAATGTGTTTGGTTTTTCTGGCATATTTATTTGATAAATAATACATGCTTCATCCTGAATCTCAGATGGGTACTGTGATTAAATAAGAGAGATGTCAGAGAGTCATGGAAAGTTTGATTGTGCAAATAAATAAATAAATGGATTATTATGCTGTATGACTAATGTCTCTGGCATTTTTCTTCTGTATTTCATTATTTCTCACCACACATCGCCACATTTAGGAGGACAGCAGTAAAGTAACAGGTCAGACCAGTTTATACTGTAAGTATAGCAACCTCACTTTCAAGCAACAACCCAAAAGATTCTCATAAGGTAACCTAGACATTTCCCTCTTTTGGCCCAGATTCCAGTGTTGCCAGTTCCACGATAACACCAGTGGATGGTGCTGTAGATCTCCGGGAGGAGGAAATGGAGGCTTCTGTCTTTGGTAGGTAATCATATATATATATATATATATATGTGTGTATATATATATATATATATATATATATTATATATATATATATATATATATATATATATATATATTATATATATATATATATATATATATATATATGAGAGAGAGAGAGAGAGAGAGAGAGAGAGAGAGAGAGGTGTGTGTGTGTGTTTACATGCTGTACTTGATCTGCTCTGTCCTATTTTTACTCTGGCCTAATTTAGGACTGCATTTTGCTCTGGATCATCTTGATGCTTCAACTGCCCCACCATCTCTCCGTCTTTCTGACTCCTCTTTAACTGTCACCTACCACGAAGAGAATCCCCCTGTACCAGCTCCAGAAGGCAAAATTGGAAGACCTGTGATGACCTCAGACCCAGGGACTCTCCATCATATTCGTGCTGATGTAGTAATTGCACGGGGGCAGTACTACTGGGAGGTGGAAGTGTGTAATAGCTCCATCTACAAGATTGGTAAAAACAACAACTTAATTATTCATGGCACACATAGGAAGACACACACAGTGTCTAAATCAGTAGCATTACAGCTTCCCTCCTCTTTTCTTCTGTGCTGTACAAGCAGGTTGATAACAATGGAGAACTGAGAAGACAGCCAAACGTTAAATCTGCATTATTTTAAATGGCCAACAGAGGACAAGTCTTCCATTTAGAACAAGAAGTGTCTTTAGACACAAGTTTATATTAAAACAGCCCTTATTGTCTTTTCACTTTGACCTCAGTAAACTCTAGTGTAATGAGTTTATTTGTCAGTCACTAAATTCAAATCTTATACAATACAACATGAAGCTTATTTGGTCAATAATGGTCTCCCCAGTTAAAAAGGGGCAAGAAAACAGGATATGTTTTACTGTATGACTGGCAAGAATGTATGGTGTCCATCATTCTTCGGTCAGATGAAAAGGGAAAGACCATGTCTGAATTGAGGAGGGGGCCTAAGGGTACATCTTTCGCCATCTTAAAATGCTGTGATTGCAGCCATCAGTGGTCTTTGATCAATGATCAATGGTCTTTGATCAGTAGTTGTTAATAAATGGTCATGAGAATGTACATATTAATGATCAAGGAACTGACTTCACAGCCTATTGTTCATTCAGTGGTGCTAGTTTCAGTCATTGTGCAATATACTCTTTATAAGGTTGGGGAAACCTGCAGTCAGCTGAGGCAGAAGAAGTCACCTGGATGAGTGATGAAACATTTCTCTCACTGAAAACGCTACGTCCAGATGAACAGAATCAACCTTTTGGGACTTACTTACCTGGATGATTGAGCATGCATCAAGACATTTGGATTTGTGTTTGTGGATATATGTGTGTGTGACAGATCAGATGCTTTCTAGTGGTTAAAATCACATTCAACGGCAGTGATGTGAGTAACTGAGGTTTCCTTGTTGGTGTTTTTCTGAATAAACATCATTGGATCTTTTTATATTCAACCGATCCAAGATTAAGGCAGGGCTGGAGCTTATCCCTGCTATTATAGGGCAAGAGGCAGGGTACACACTGGACATGCTCTCAATCTGTCACAGGGCTAACACAGAGAGACAGACAACCATTCACACCTCCAGCTCATTTAGAATCACCAGTTAGTCTAACATGCACATCTTTGGACTGTTGGAGGAAGCTCGAGTATCCAGAAATAACCTATCCAGGCACAGTGAGGACATACAAGTTCCACACTGGGAGGTCCCAGGTGGCCAGCGGATTTCAACCAGGACCTTCTTGCTGTGACACAATGGTGGTAACCACCACACCACCATGTTGCCCAACAAAAAAAACACACAAAAAATTAAAGTTTTCCACTTAAGATATAAACTCGTAGAGGACATGCATGTAACAAAGTTAAAATGTTGTTTTTCATAGTCGCCCAACTTTACACTTCACAGTATCAGAACAGTACCCAGCTGTAGATGACACTCAGTAAAGACATTTATTCACTCTGTTTGCCAATACAACACAAAAATGAAATGAAATGAAATCAGTCAAATTAAAACAAAACAAAGATTTAACATAAAAAGAAACTTGGTTTCTTACTTATTTTATTCAGAACACCATTGCAGACCACAACATTAAACAAAAACTCAACACTTCTTTTGGATTTAAATATTCTTTTTAGTTATTCCCACTCTTTTGAGCAATATCGTTGAGAGTGTTGTAACTCATAACTATGAATCACAGCATTTCTTGTTCCTGTCCAGGCTGCGGTGATGGTCCCGGAGGGTATCGTTTATGCAGGAGGGGTATATCTGTGGTGTTTCAAGGAAAGATGTCTTTTGTCTTCTCCTTGTTTATCCATGATACCACCAAGTTGGTGGCTCACCTCCTCAGCATCCAGACTACATCACAGACAAATAAGAGCAACAATTTCCACTAAGCAAAAATAACAAACACACAATGAAATGCCTACAGTTTATAGTAGCATTTGATTTATTCCTTAAGCTATTTACTTCAACCCTAAATTATTGTACAGTTGTCAGCTTATTTTAGTTACATTATATTAACTTAGCCACACAGATGGGAATAACATTAATTAAGCTGACTCGTTATAAAAGTATTGAGCAATGTGAACTAATGATCTGATAGTGTCTATAAACACTACAAATGTCAACCTCATGGTGGTGCAAGAGGAAAAGTAAGAAAGCCACCAAAGTCAAACAGATGCATCGTCTTAGGAGAATAAATAAATAAAATATTGTAAAAATCAATTGAATGGCTATTGGGATATTTGAGCGTTGGCCAAAGTGTTATCCCCAGAGCCAGGAATTGTTAAAGACTATTTTAATGCATAACCAAATCCATAAAAGTGCAGAGAAAACTGAAACTTTTCTGTCTCCCTCAGGTGTGATCTCAGTGGATGGTTCTAATGGCTGGTGGCTTGAGAGGCACAGTTTGACTTTTTGGGCAGTGTATGATGGGAACTGTGAACAACTTTGTACCATCCCACCTCAGATCAAAACCATTGGGGTCTTCCTAAACATTGGAGGAGGGACCCTAAGCTTCCACAACCCTCTAACCCAGGAGCATCTTGCCACACTGCCAACACGTTTCAGCAATGCTGGAGTGGTCCCAGCCCTGGGCCTGGGCCAGGGCAGACTGAGACTGCGCTGTGGCCTACCCCCACCTGTTTACGTATTTCTTAGTAAGAGCTCAACCTACAGGGAGCCTCATGGAAACAGCAGAAGTGAGTGGCGCCAAGAGGTTCCCTTTCAGTCGGTTAGGAAAGTGATCCAGAAGTTTGAGAAGCTGGCACTTTCTGACTCAGACTCAGGTCTGGTGTCCAGTTTTGGATCATCATGCTCCACCTTGGCTTCCTTTCCAGATGTGGGGGTTCCTGGGACCTTTCAGTCAGGGAAAGCAGGACAGGAAACTGAACCCTAATAAGAAGAGCTTGTGAAACCTTCTCTTCAATGAAAGGATAAACAAAAACTCCCACAGATGACCTGTGTAGTTTTAACTTTAGCTGTCATTTGAAAGGCTAATTTTTAATCTTCACAGACTTTTGGAAGTGTCTCTCCACTCCCTGCGTGACCCCCGGACCTACAATTGACTTTCTCACCAGGAGACAACCTTTTTCTCAGCTAAACAACCCCCACAGATTTGGCTTGGGCCAGAAAGAGTCCTCTGTGATGTGAAGTGTGAGGAAAGGGTGGGTTTTTAGCAGCAGGACTCCTTGATTTGTCTCTGTGTGATGGTTGTCAGACAGTAGGGGTCCTGTGCTCATAGTGCGCACATTTGTTTGTGTGTGTGAGAGAGCAGAAGCACTAACTCTGAGCATTTGCTCAGTTAGTCTTGGATTTCAAGGTGTGTTTGTGTGTGTGTTTGCGTGCATAGGAAGAACCACTGTACAAGTAGCCGGGGGTGGAGATGATGATGCATGAGTACAGCGACACCAGCAGTGTTGACACAGAGCACCAAGGACAGGTGGTATACTACGCTTATCCTGCAGCCTGTCTTTGATAGGACAGTAAGCCTGCCCCTTTCTGACCCTTTGAAACCCATAGGGCCTCTAAAGACTTTAAAAGAGCAGAGAGGGAAAAGACAAAACAGCATGCATAAATTAAAGACAACAGGTGATGGACTGGACAAAAAGGAATGAGCTCAGAGAGTGATTCCCATCTGCTTTCACTTCCAAGACATCCTAATGGATCAAATGGCTCAGACCATATTTTTAAGGCAGCATACAGTATATTAATAGAATGGCATACTTTTTTACATTGCCAATTTGCTCATTGAACTTTAAGAAGAATCAAACAGGGAAATCAATTAAATTGAAACAATCTTTATTCAACACTATTTAATTACAGTGTCAAATCTTCATTAAAACCCGACAAGACTTTAAGACAAATGCATAAAGTCTTCTCACACAGAGCACACACTGAGGAATGTTTACTGCGTTGTTTTTTTTTAAATGAAAACCAAACTTTACTGGAATGTCTTTTGAACTAAAAGCCTAGCTATAAAATACTTTATATTAATTACACAATTACTGCAGTCACAGGTCTAATGACTACTTTATGTGCTGTGCCGGCTCAGCATTCACAATAAAGTGGTTTATATTTGTGTTGTGCACTCACTGAAATCAAAGTTATTTTGTTTGCAAATATCTGGATGTGCATGTTAAGCTGTCTGAGATATTATAAGACAGATGTGGCACACACATAAATTTGGAAGACAAATCTATTGAAGAAATGGCACAGATGGCATCTGTCTCGCCTCTCCGCTGATACATGTGCACAGTAAAGATTCAATTCAGTTTAGTTTGATTTACACAGCGCCAAATCACAACAGCTGTCACCTCAAGGCGCTTCATATTGTAAGGTAAAGATCCCACAATAATACAGAGAAAACATCAGCAGTCAAGGATTTTTTAGTACATCCTGGGGATAAGGAATTATAAGAATACAGCTTAGAAGCAATAAATGCATGGGCTAGTTTTTTTTTGGCATAATTCTGAGACAGGATATGTTTAATTTTAGAGATATTGTGCAAATGGCAGAAAACAGTCCTACAGATTTGTTTAATATGAGCATTGAAGTACGTATGCTGGTCAAAAATGACTCCAAGATTCCTCATAGCGTGATTGGGTCCCAAGGTAATGCCATCAAGATTCACAATTGTTTTACTGTAAGGCATGGGGCAAACACTGTTTAAACCTTATTTTGAGGAAACTTTGCACACTTTTCCAAACGTTGATTCTGTTCATCTGGAACAGAATCAACTTTTGGAGATTTACTTACCTGGATGATTGAGCATTCATCAAGACGTTTGCACACTTTTGAAGCATTTTTATTGTATTTCTTTCTTGATTTTACCAGTTTTTATCTCCTACTCGTCCTAGCTTCTTTCAGTGACCACTTGTATTACTGCAACAACAGCAAGAACAAATAAAGAAACCAGCATTTGACCTCATACACCATCATTTTCAGATATGTCTGAAAACTGTTGACAGGGACTGAAATTGAACACATAATCTGGTTATTAAAATTTCACTGAGGTTTCATATCTCTAGCAAATCCCTAAAGAAGTGTGTTGTCTTGATAGGAGCATATTTGGACACTTGATCAGCATTTCTAGACATCTGATTGGACAAAGGCTTCTTACTGGATATATGACCAACTTGGTGGCTCATTTTAGTTTTTCCACCCTATTTGCAGACAAATCCTTCTCCAGAATGGAAAAATATATTCAAAAATAAAAATCATTCATTAGAATCTATCCTTAGTATCTTTAGCTGGTTTAGAAGTTATCTGGGAGACCTCAACATGTTGGACAATCCTGATTTGTGCCCAGTGACCTAGACCCAGTTTCGTTGCTGAGCGCTTTGGGTTTTCTCCTGAAATCTTCACATATCCTTTTATATATTCATGAAACATCCACCTTAGTGTGATTCCCACTTCTGGACATACTGCAGCATACTCCCACCACCGTGCTTCACTGTGGGGCACACTGTTCTTTGGGTTGTATGTCTCTCATCTTTTTAAGCAGTGTTTCTGTGGCCAAAGATCTCTAGTTTCATTTAATCTTTTCTGTAGAAATAGAATTTTCTTTTTTGGTCTTAATCCTCACAATCCATTCCTTTGCAGGGTTCCAGTAATTGTTTTCTTTAAATCTACAATTCTTGACTTGGTCAAGTCATTGTGTCCTGACAATTGTTCTGGGTCTTTAGACAAATCTCACACTTTTTTTTCATACTCTTTGAAATCTTTCACTTCCTACCTCTGCCAGGCCTGTATCCTGCTAAAAAGTATACTAACAGAAAGTATCTGACTTGACACAAGAATAAAGCAAAAATATTAGTAACAATCTGTGAATCTGCATCCAATAAGACCCAAGCCTGTGCTGCAGAAAAGCATCATAAGAACAGTTTAAAAACAGTTTAAAATACTTAAGAAAGAGGGAAGGCAGAAGAAGACACCAAACGATGATACTAGCTGGCCATGTTACACACGTCAGTGTGAAACCATTCTGAGCCATAAGTGTGTTCATTCTTTGAACAGAAACAGCTATTTGCTCATTTCTTTGTTATTGGTGTTTAAATTCATTTTAATCTGCAGATTAAAAAAAAACAACAAAAAACTTTAAAGTTGTGTTTTTTGGACATTTCATGCCTTGTTAGGTCTCTGGCTCCACTTGGTTTCACTAATGGCCTCACCACACTAATAACATACTATATTTTGCATACTATACAATGAAAGTGGTACTGTTTTTGCCATTTTATTTGTCAAATCTGTAATATTTTTTTTTTATGTTTTTATTCCTTTCTTTGCACCTCCCTTTTTTCAATTTTTTTCTTTTTTGTTTATTTTCTTTGTTCCAAACACTTCTGGACTTGTAAGTTTGGGAAAGATTCATTTTGTGATTCTCTGGCAAAGAAAATAATGAAAGCATAAACTTTCCTTCATTTTCTCCTCAATCTTCAGGGCTCCAAGCCCCGCTGGAAGAACCACTGGTGCCGAGGACTATTTATTCTTGGCTCGGCTGATATTCACATTCATTCTTGACCACTTGACTTGTGATTAGGCAATAAAGCCTTTTGCGCAACTCCCTCCTGTACCATCCTCTCCTCCCTGCCTGTCTTCAGCGATTGTTTGCCTTTTCTTTCCTATTCCATTGTCTTCCAATGTTCAGTCAGACCACCCAAACAGTAAATCTCATTGAAAAAGAAAAATCCTTGCAATTAAAACAAGCATCAACCAGCAGAAGTTCTTCAGGGGCACTTTTGAAGAGGTGGAGGAGTAGCAGTGGAACTCAGACCAACTTTACATTGAGCATCATTCATTTCATGCAAGCACGAAATCAGTTAAGCAGCGGGCCAGACTCGGTAATTACTGATGAGTCAGGAGAAGCTTGTTAGACTGTCGCCTCTCGGACCACTCATCAGGATGACTGCGTGTTGATGTTTAACGGTGGAGGTATTTGCCGCGCGAGTAAAAAATGCATGTGCCGTGACCGCTTTTGGCACAGCTCGCTCTCTCCTTCTCTCTCCCCTCTGCACATCTATCGACTTTTACAAATAAAGTGTGTGGAAGCAATTTGAGCCTTGTAAACAGAAATGAGACCGGAGTGATGCAGATTTCAAAGGGCCGACACGAGAGAGCGGGGAGGGCGGGAAGGGAGTCTGCCAGGAAGGATGGATAACGTGTCGTGCCATGTGTGCACATTTGGCAACGTCTGTCGTATTCTGGCTCTCTGAACATGAACTGCACAGCAAGATGCTGGACTTTCTTTTCCCCCCTTTTGCTCAAGTACTGCAAGTGCTTGAGATAATTATAATTGAGCATTTCAGTTGCATGTTTTTAGTTGATTTTTTTATTCACCTTTTAAATCAAACACGTCTTCTCTATTCTATGATCTCATTATGTTTTATACTTCTTTATATTTTCTTTTGGTTCTTTGTGTTTGTTCACTTTTTGTCTTTTGCATCCTGTGAAGTAGCTACTTTGAATGGTCTTCTTGTTCAAAGAGGCCCCCCAAAAGTGCACCTAGCTGCCAATATCTTTATTCTTGACCTGATCTTTCAGAGTCTGTGGATCTATCTATACACCTTTACTCTGCAGAGTGATATTTTGAAAAACATAACAGACTAATGCATTTAACACAGGAAAAGAACCTAAGAAGAAACATACTAACTGTTGAAATAGCCAGACTTTAAAGTACCGCACTACATATAATTATTAAATCTTTCTTTAACAATACTGTGCCATCTACCCCCAACCAGCAGATGGACTCCACTCCCTCAGCCTGATTCTGTTGGCGTTTTCTTCTTGTTTTTCCTTTCCACTGTTGTCAACTGCTTGCTCATGGGTGGGTCATCTGATTGTTGCTCTTTATCATTTTAGGGTTTTGCCTTACAGAATAAAGGACCCTGAGGTGACAGCTGTTGTGATTTGGCGCTCTGGAAATAAAATTGAATTGAACTGAATTCTGCTGAGTTTAGCTTGCCAGCTTTGTCAGGTCTCTACAATACTGGGTTGAAATAGTAGCAGATTTTAAGCAAATTAAGTCTCTTGAATAGTCACACAATCTGAGATTTTGTGCTGACTGACAAACACAACCATACCATGTCTTGAATATCGGAGTAATTAAATTCAGACCTATACTTCTAATTGAGTCTTTGCAGGTCATGTTTAAGTTACTTCTATGTATGTATAAAGCTCAGTGCTATTGCAGACAGACAACCTAAACGCTAACCTAAACACTGTGTAAATTTGCTTATTGCATAAATACTTAGAGTATAATTTGTTTTCAAAATCTTCTAAAATATTTCTCCTTGATTTCACTCTGGAATTAACAAAGCATTCTTCTTCGGAATTAGCCCCGAGTAACCACTGCTTATAAAAACATGCTTACAATAAAAAGGAATCGTTATTGTTTCCTTTAAGTCTTAGCTCATCGTTCTACCTACATTTTAGTACAATTATTCACTGATAAGTATTTTGATCACTGAAAACCACATCCTAATCACCGCCGTGCACAGGTCAGTGTCGGGAAGTTTGCTGGCTGGAAATAAGAAGAGCTTTTTATAATTTCAGCATAACTTTGTAGACTCTCCACTAGTAATCATCTGTTACTCCCCACACGCACAAACTTCTCCTGGTGATAAACTAAACGCTGTAACTACACAGGTCTTTTCCCGGAGGTGTCAAAACAAACCGAGCAGCCTCCCCACACACACACTCACCTCCACTGCATTTGGACATAGCCTATGCTCGCTAATTGCCTGCAGTAATTATGGTCACGCCTCCTCCCCGATCCACAATAGGAGACGGTGAGAAGACAGGAGCAGCGCTCCTTTCTCCTCAATTTCGACTGTGTCTGCAAATTGATTCAGTTTGTATGAATAAACACCAACTCTGCAAGACGTCTTCTTCCATTTGCACATTCACATACTGACTGAGCAAAGGCCCATTTGACTCCCCACTCGCCCGCCCCCTCTCTCCCCTTTTCCGCTACCGGCATCAGTACACAATTAGCTCTACAGCCTCTTATTATTATCAGCATCAGCATAACACTGGCAGGGGCGAAAACATGGTGTGCGTCTTAATTTACCATATTCAGAGCACATTTTTAAAAACACGATAGATAGATAGATAGATAGATAGATAGATAGATAGATAGATAGATAGATAGATAGATAGATAGATAGATAGATAGATAGATTTAAAAAAAATATTTTTATTGATGACGTTGATGGCGGTTTCCAGCACCTCGAAGTAAGCTACCT